CCCCATCTTGTTTTATTTGCCACGATGCTTTGCCATGGCGAAACTGCGAAGTTCCTTCGCTGCTTGCTCGAATTCCTTGCCCGCTTTGATACCACAATGTCACGAACTTAGCTAGAATTGCCAAAGCCGTGAGGCACCATTGCGGCAAAGACGCGAACTTAGCTTGAGTTGCTTAAGTTGCGAAGCACCCTTGCACCAACTTCTCAAACTTAGCTGAGATTGCCTAAGTCGTGGCGTGCCCTTGCGATACACGTCTGCAAAGGGTCAGCCAAGTTGCAACCTCACTCAGGTCCCGAAGGACCTGTAAAAGAGAAAGTTGATTAGTTCGAAAACGAGCGACGGACAAGTCCTGACGTCTCGCGGAAAGGGAAGCTTTACAAACAATTCAACGAGCACCTTGCGTGCATAAGAGAAAAGAGGGCAAGGAGGAAAACAAGGACTTTAGAAGGTAGAACGAATAGTTGCAAGTCCACAAACAACTGCTCACCAGGTGCCGGGCGCGAAGGCAAGTTCCCGTCAAGTTAACGTGCGATTTATAAAGATTTTTCAACGCCCGACAATATACCGAAGCCCCATCCAACCCTGTGCCACCCGGGAGGTTTGAGGGTGTTGAGATGGCTGACGTTTTGGTGTGCAGTTGTGGCTTGCAGAAAACAAGCCATGACATGCGAAAATGAAGCCATTTAAGGGCATTTCGGCTCGGCGTGGCGAGCGGTCGCACTGCAGCGTTGCAACATGTTCGAACATGCATTTTACAAGCAAAAACACACAAAACCAAGGCAAAACAGGCTATCATATCTCTGTACAAGCGTGCAAAATCGACGAATGGTTCGTTGAACGAAGTTGTTGCGAGTGCGCGACGACCATTCGCGATAGTGCGAACTTGTGTATATCGATCAATGCCCAACACTACCCCGAAGCCCCACCCACCTTGTGCCACTTGGGCGGTTCCAGGGGTTTGAGATGGCTGATGTTTCGCGAGCGGCTGTGATCTATAGAGAACAAGCCATGACACGCGAAAACGAAGCCATTTTGTGGCAGTTTTGCTCGGCGTGGTTACCGGTTGAATTGTAGTGCTACGAACTATTGCTTACATTTTTCAAGCAAAAACACACAAAACCAAGGGAAAAATGTTGTCAAGCATTTGTACAAGCATGCAAAAGCGACAAACGATTCGTTGAGCGAAGATGTTGCGGGTGCACGACAATTGTTCGTGATAGTTGGGTTGGTCGTCCAAGAGGATAGCGAAGTCGGAGGGGAGGATAGCACTTCACAGAGGTTGGAGGCATCGCCTGGATCTCCTCTGGAATGCCTCTGGCCTTGCCCGCCACCGATGCCGTCGTTGGGTAGGCCGTTCGGGAGGATAGTGAAGCTGGAGGGGAGGATAGCGCTTCATAAAGGTTAGAGGCGATGCTCGAATCTCTTCTGTAACGCCATCGGCCTTGCGCGCGCCACCGACGCTGTCGTTGGGTTGGCCGTTCGAGAGGATACCAAAGCTAGAGGGGAGGAAAGCCAGAGGGAAGGATTGTGCTTCACAGAGGTCAGAGGCGTCGCCTGGATCTTCTTTGGAACGCCACTAGCCATGCACGCCACCGACGTCACCGAACGCCACTATCCTTCTTCTATAAAATTAATATTTTGAAAGGGATGAGGATAGTGAAATTACCTTTTTACCCCTTTTATTCGTGCTCTTTGTACACGTGACAGCATGTGCAATTTTTTTCGTCGGTAAGGTTGACGTCGTGAGGGGAATTGGGATTAAATATTTTACTTTCGTAAGTATAGGAATCCTAATGTAATTTTTTAAGCTGTAGAGATTGTGTTGCTAAACATAGCAGCTAACTATAGGTGGTAATCTATATTAGCCCTCTGTTGATATTAGGTGAATGACTCAGTTTTCTAGCTTTTGTTTCTTCTTTAGAATCAATACATAAAAGTTCCCAATGATGAATGACATCACAAACATGAATCTGCATTAGTTTGATGATCTACTTTTTAGTCAAATTAGACAGCTAGCAATATGGTTATATATTCATTGAATTTAGATACATAACATGAGCCATAAGTAAATTTCCATGCCACTTGGATTCTGCCATTAAAGAAATAACAAATTCATGTTCTTGTTATGATTTGGCATGTGTGTGTTTTTCAACACACAAAAAAGGAAAGCATGCCATCTTTCAAAATGGTTATTAAATAGTTGTGATGTGAATGCAATTTGCACTGAATATATAGGTTTTATTTGTGCTGTTAATGCAGTTGCTTGCTTGATTTGTTCTGCCTTTATGGTTCTTCTCAATAAATTGTACCATCATTCATAAGTTTTATGATATTCATATGTGCCTAAGAATCTCATCTTTTTAATAGAACAATTCAAGACTTACATGTATATGTTGAATTCTCTTCTTATCTTTTTTCTATTGAGAAGAAGCTAACTATTGAGTAAATTTAGAAGAAGAGTGTGTGAATGAGCTGTCTTATAATGAGATTTAAACTTTGAAAATTGTAGGATCATTTCTTTGTGATTTTTCATTACTAATGTGAGTGTCTGTTGAAATTCTTCTATAGTTAAGTTCGAGCATATCAGTAATCACTATGCATTTTCTATTAATGCACCGGTAAAAGTTTTAAGTCTTCTAAGGAGTAAAGGGCCTTTTTTGAGAGGCTAAGTATCTGAATTGTTGGACAAACATTTTTTTGGTTGTCTGTGACCTTTTTATTTATCACTTTTTCCCTTTTATTTTCTTCTAAACTATCAACTTCTTTTGAATAAATGAACAGTCATAATAAACTTGTGTATATCTGAGTTGGTACTTATTAATTGTACTTCATGTCCTACAATGTCGTTGTGCCTGAAGGCTGGAAAACTACATCTGGGGATCTGATATACGAAGCTCCTTGACGAGCAAGGCTGTGAATCTTGGTTGTTGTGGCTCGAGAATTCTTGGTATTAGAGTCTGTATGTTTTGTCCAGGCTTAGTGACCCTCATCTGAACATCTTTCATCATGTTGAAAGAGTCTCTAGAGAATTTGTCTTACAGTCTTACTCACATTGCATGTGACGATGGAGAATTCTTCAACTATTGTTATTGTTATGGTAGGTTGTCTTGAACTCTAGATGTTGATCAGGCATCGATTTGGTACCAAATTTATATGATTGTTGTGTGAAATTCAATTAGTGTTTAATAATGCTGGTTCAAAATTTTAAATATCCTTTTAATTTTTACACTAATAAGCTTGAGCCATCATTTTCCATGAAATTATAATATATAACTGCTTCTTTGAATTTCATTTGATATTCTCTGCATGTTGCCGGCATAGAGATGACCATAAAATAACTTTTGTTCAGCCATTTGACATAAGTTGATTACTGTTTGTTTTTTATTGTGGTCTGTCATTTGTACAGTAGTCTTTCATAGTAATAACATTCTAGTCTAAGTTTTCCGTGATTTAAATAACCTGACTGACTGGATGTATAAATTAAGACTGTTTATGCCCTCAAACATGTTTTATTTTATTAAGCTATAAGCTACAATATATTATTATATTGTTGTACTATATAGTATTGTGTCATGTTTTTGTTCAGTGACTTGCTTATGAAAGTACAAGGGGTTATTGTGGATATTTCTTGTCAAGTGAGTATCTTAGTTGGCCTTCTTTTTCCCTTTTCAGGTTCTTCACAACATTGCTGTTGTTACATATTTTCGACATGATTGTTCTGATCCTAGGAATCTGTTTAGTGTACCTAATACAGTTAAAGTTATGCTAATCAATATTTGCTTATTCTTTTTGGGGCCTGAATAACTGTGTGTAGAAGAACTTTTTAAAGTCATAGTAGCATTAAGTTCAGTTTTTTTGCTGTTTCGCCTTGTGATCTTTGACTTATATCAATTAACAAATTTTTTTTCAGAGATTGTTAGAACAATATGGAAATCTTGCACTTTATATCTGTGGCAAGATTTTTTTTTTTTGAGAAATAGCCAACTGGTATTGTTAACTATGCAACAACTTTAACTTTGTGAACATGCCTATTCCAATTTTAGTGTCATCACACTTAGGTAAACGACCAAAGATTCAGTTTTGCCTCTTTCTTTTATTCATATAAGCCAAAGTAGTTTGCTTTACTTTTGGAGGACATTTTTTGTATCATGATACATTTTTAAACTTCCCAACTTGATGTTGTTTTGCTCAAAAACTTCTACCTTAATAGTTTTGTTGCAAATAATGCATGTGACAACATTAGGGACTTTCAGGTGCTTTAAATAGTTGTATATCTATCGAGGGTTCTGTTAAATGTTTCTTGATAATGATTCTTCTAGTGTGTATATAATTATCATTGTACCTAAAATATAATTTGAATCGTCATGTTAAATTAATTTATTAAAGGGAGGAGAGGAAAGGGGAGAGAAGAAGATGGCGGGAAACAAGGAGGACAATGACAAAAGTGGAAACCTACAAAGAGGTGAGGAGATAAGATGAAATAGAAGATGATGAAAATGATACAAAAAAGGTGAAAGAGGGGAAGTGCAAGTGCCATGATAGTCTATTTATTTGCATTTGCAATCTCAATGGGAGCCTTAGCCAGTCCTTTTATTTACATTATAAAAGGAATTATAGAGGAGAGGAGGTGAGAGATGAAGCAATAGAGGGCAAGGCCTGCTGGCCATGGCAGTGGAAGGAGCTGCCTATGCACAGAGGAGAGGAAGGAGGGAGGGTTTTGCACAAAGAAGAGAGGTTGGCAGGGAGGAAAAGAAAGAATGGAGGAAAAGGTAGCGAACAAAAGAGGATATATATTAGATGGAGGAGAATCAAATGGTGGTAGTGGATTGACAGTGATGGCAGTTTTGTGTGTGTGTGTTGGGGAGAGGGGGGTGGAGTGGTTGGTGGTGGGGTTCACGTGAGGTCAATCACACATTTTCTTGTTCTTGGTGGTGAGAATTTGTTTTAAATGTGGCTTTGCCAACATGTACTTTTTGACTAAATGATTGTTTCTGTTGTAGGAACAAAGTGAATTACTTGCTTGTTCTTCTCGAGGATAGATCGAATCTGGTAATAATAGTGAGAATAATGTGTCAAGATCTAAAGTGAATATTGCTTCGCTTCATCAACTTTCTGCAATAAATAGTGGCAGAATTGTTAATGCAGAAGAGTTTGACACTTCAGTAACACTGTTGAACATTGTACATAGTTCTGCATCTACTTCTTGACCAAAACTTCCTTTTTCCAGGGTCATTGAATGCAAATCAAATACTGTTCATAACTTCATATAGTGACACTATGCTTGCTCCATTTTGGTGAACTACAGGCTGTTGTTCTCTACCATGTCCATGAATATGCACGTGCATTATTTCTCCTAGAAACATTATATCAGAACATTGAGCCCATCGATGAGGTTTCGTCACTTAGTCATCTTATGTGTCCATGTGATGTTCTTTTTTTTTTCAACCAGTGGTTTGTACCTTGCAGAGAATTGTTCTTCATGTGTGCCTCCTGCTACTGGATGTTTGCATTAGCCTGCCGAGATGCTTCAAACGCTGCAGTAAGTTTTTATGGATATATAATTTATATTTATTTTCCCGGTTCAATGTTTGTTCTACGTGGATCATGTGATAAAACTGGTGTTATGCACTTTTGGACTAGAACACAAAACTCCTTTTGTGACTTGTTGGTATAATAATATCTGTATTATGTATTGTTACCTTCTCTTACTATAAGCTACTTAAAATATTGTTGCTGATAATTAAGCTGATTCTGAAAAACTGAAGGAAAAAGAATTCTTTTGCCTGTAGTAGAACTTGGTGCCTTGGTGTGGTGTTCATGGAGCCTATCCAGCATTTACAGGCTGGAGCTTTTGTTGTTTCATTACCTTTGATTCATCATTAGTTAGGTTTATTTTGTGAATCATGTTGTGTTTGAGGTTATCCTTCAGTATGCCGACTCATGTCTGATTGGAAACTGTGATTGCAAAAACTAATGGATGGGTGTCCTGAGGTTTGTGGCATTGCTTATCTTTTAGGAAATACCATAGGTTTGGGAGTCCAGTGCATGTGAGATATGAAACCTTGTTGCAATCTTGGGTTTGGATTCATCTTTTCCTCTTTTCTCTTTCTTCTACTCTTTTTTGCTTTTACGTTCTTTCCCTGTTCTCACACATTTTCAGCACAACAGTCAGCCATCTCCTTCAGAAACCTAACTGAACATCTCATGCATCTAGGCAATGGTATATCACCAACTTTGAAAACCCAAATAGTTGTTTTCTGTTACTCTACATTCTGACGACAAGTTTCGGAATATCTACTTAAGTCTCTTGATGTCCAACTATTTTTTTAAATTTTATTACAACACCAGTTTTTTTTTTTTTCTACCCAATATGCATCCAATCAAGTTGATTTATCATTTACTTAAGAAAGTTAGGCGTATCTGAGGTTGCTTAAACTTTCTTTATACCTAGATCATGCATGTGTATCGAATGTGACAATAGTTTTGACTAGCCAAATACTCCAAATCTTATTGGTTAAAGAAATGCTGACTCACTAAGACCCATAAGATGATTTACACAACAATGTATTTACAAAGAGTAAAGATGCCAAGAGCTTTTACGAATTGCCACTTCTTCAAGGTGGTCCTATAGTGATCGTGGCTCTTGTCACAAATTACCCGAGGAAACGGGGAGCTCAAGTGGATCAACAACAACAACAAAGGCGTAATGTGTCAACACTTCGGGGTTGACTGAATACATCTTTTATTGTCATGGTGCTCCATAGAAAATCATATTTTTAGTGAGTATTTAACTTCCCATTTATAGTTCCTAGTAAAGTATTTTTGTCTCCCTCTATCTTTCCTCGTAACACTCATAGTAATTGTTTCTCCTCTTTAAGCACAATATCAACATGTTTCCTTAGCATATGTTCATACCAACTTAGACCATTCTCTCTCAACCACACTTAATTGTTCACAAATAAAAAAAATATTTTTTTTTCTAGTAACACTACACATCCACCTCAACATTCTCATTTAAGCGATATAGTTTTTTGTGTATGTCATTTTTTAATTGTCCAACTTTTGGAACTAACAAAATGCTTCTCTTAATATAAGAGATACTTGATGATAACATACGGCTCCTGACGTTCCTCACAATTTTAATCACCCATTTTTTTATTATGAATGTTATTTTCATCAATAATAATCAATCCAAGATACCTAAAGCTTTTAAGCAGTATATCTAACATTTGTGCTGTTTTTTTGTGGGATTTGCATGTGATGGACCTAGAAGTGTTTTGGGTTAAGCTCATGAGAATGCTTGAGTTTTGAAATATTTGGTTCTTGATAACGATCTTGAAATCCTGATATTGAGTGAATCCCTAAATTCTTGTAGTACCACGAGGAACTCGTTTCTTTTTTCTGCTGACACCTGTTGAAATATTTGGTACCTGATAATGATCTTGAAATCCTGATCTTGAGTGACTCCCTAAATTCTTGTAGTACCACAAGGAACTCGTTTTTTTTTTCTGCTGAAACCTGTTGAAATATTTGGTACCGGATAATGATCTTGAAATCCTGATGTTGAGTGAATCCCTAAATTCTTGTAGTACCACGAGGAACTCGTTTCTTTATTCTGCTGAAACCTGTTGAAATATTTGGTACCTGATAACAATCTTGAAATCCTGCTGTTGAGTGAATCCCTATATTCTTGTAGTACCACAAGGAATTTCTTTCTTTTTTTCTACTGAAACCTGTGTCCTCAGATAATTGGGATTGTTTATTCTATATTCTGTCCTTGTGTGCTTGGACAATGTGATTGTTGTTGTACTGCATAGAACTGCATAGTTGGTTTGATAGCTTCGTATTAGTAATCCCACAGCACTGCTCTATGTTGGATCAGGAAACTTTTCAAAATCTATTTGGAATTTCGGCTCCCCTGTCATAATAGGTGTTGGGACTTCTATGGCCTTGTTTTTGTTGTTTTAGTGTGTCATAATAGACTTCCACAACATGTGCTTCTTGGTATGCTGCTCCACGGCTTCCTTGACACTATATCCGTCTTAGGTTAAAATGCCGAGAGATATTGCATGGACAGGTACTTTGTGGTATTTTAGTTGGTGCTAACGATTTGATCTTGAAACTAATGGTAGTACTCATTTTCATGTTAAATGAATAAACAGATGTCGTTCTTGCTGACTTTTTAATGTGAAATGCATCACATGCTCTGGAAAGGTGACTGTTTCCTTGTTGTTCTAATTTGTGATGGTGGGACTCATATGTGCAGAATTTTATCTAGTGTTGTAGTCTTTATGTGTTCTACTTTGCTATGTTGAACATCTTATTCCTTTGTTTCATGCATTAGGGCAAGGAGAAAGTGGAAGCAACATTCAACCTCAGTCTAACCATGGATTAAAATTTTCTGGTATAAATAACATCCCTGCTTCAAATGTGTGCAGTACAGATTTTAGTGGCAGCATAAATGCTCAAGAAAGTGCTTTGACAAGAACTTTATCAGATGAGACACTAGAATATGAGACTTTATGTTCAACATTGGATAGTGGTACTTATAACTTGGAGAGACCTACTACTAATGCTAACTCAAAATTAGCAGCTGTAGCTTCTGCCGTTGATTTAAAGCTAAATTTGCATCTTTACAAGGTCCGACTACTGCTGCTTACAAGGAACCTGAAGGCTGCAATGCCGGAAATTAAGCTCGCTATGAACATAGCACGCTTTGGGGATTCATCTGTCACTTTTGTTAAAGTCTCAGTTAGAATATGCTCGTGGAAACCGTCGAAAGGCTATAAAACTATTGATGACATCCAGTAGCAGGTGTGATCCAGGAATGCTTTGTATATTCAACAACAATATGGGGTGCATATATCACCAGCTTGGGAAACATCATACTTCAGCGTTGTTTTTCTCTAAAGCATTAAAATGCAGCGAGTCTCTTCGGTGTAAGAAATCCCCTGAAGCTTTCTACTTTTTCTCAAGATAAATCACTATATATACTATACAACTGTGGTTTGCAATACTTGCTATGTGGAAGGCCATTGGTTGCAGCTCGGTGTTTTGATAAAACCTGGCCAATCTTTTACAACATTTGAATGCTGCTTGTCAGCTATGGAGAAAGGTCTTCTAAGGAAAAATGGTTCATCATTTGAGGGTGAGGAGGTTAAAGTTCATATAGTTGGATTGGGTAGATGGAGAAGATTGTTGACTGATGAGTAATGGTGACTGTACAGTCAACTTCATATACTGAATAAAAGTGAAATGATACAGTCAACTTCTTCACTCTCTAGGAAGGAAGCAGATGATTCCAACAAGGCAACTTCTGCAAGTGCCAAGAACTTGAACCACAAGAATATATTGGTTGGTGATTCAAAAGCATCTAATGCAACATCGGCCTCCATACCTGCTAGTAATGGTGACTTCAAAGAAACTAAGACAGGTATGATCTTGAGCACTACGTTGGACAGCTCTCTTTCTTCCTACGAGGAAATATGTTGAGAAGAAATCAACATGATAAAGCAGGCTGTGCTGGGGAACCTAGCTTATGTGGAATTGTTTGTGTCTAGGAAATCCATCGAAAGCATTATCTGCTGCAAAAGAACTTCAGCAATTGAGACAATGTAGACATGTCAGATTCTTTCCTGTTCCTGTAACAATCGGTAGCAGGTGACTGTACAAATACTCAGTTGATTACCTTATACTAGAAGTTCGTACTGTATCAGAATTAGGGATTTATGTATCCCCACAGATAGCTGTTTGTAGAATAAACGTTCTTACATAGGCTCATGGTGGTGCTGCACATTTATGTGTTTGAACTGTAGCCCAGGTTTAGGCAAAAAGAGAAGAGCTCCTTTCCCCATCATTCATGTTGTTCTCTCGTTTAAAAGATCCTCTCAATTAATTCTTGTGATCAGCCTTCTCTGATATGCGGAGGTTGTCATGGATGGACTCAAACCATATGGGCTTTTTGGTGCAATGGTGGCAAACAAATTTCTGTAAGTTCTTGGAAATATTTTTTCCCTTTTAGTTCGGTTTTTATTGGAATTTCTTTCACTTTGATCTTACCGTCAAGTTGTTTCCCACATAGATCCTTTGTTTGATGATATATATATATATATATATTATATTGTAAGAGAATGGGATGAAAATTGAAGCACAAACCAAGGGTTTGGTTTAAGTTAATACAGAGTTAAAGGTGATTAATTTAATCTGATGAATCGTTTAAACGTCCTTGACACTGTAGTCCTCCTTAATTATCATATTAAGTGCATGTCAATTTGGTTTAGGACAATCTTGTGTCCACGGACCGGGCGCCGAGTGGTTCGCGACGGCCCGGACCCGGTTCGAGGTAGCCCCGAACCGTGGTGGACGGGACGTTGCACGAATCACAAAGCGTAATGCACGTAGAGATCGGGACTCGTGGTGAACATGGTTACTCTTAGGTTTCCTAAAGGCGAACGTGGTGCGATTAACGCTCTCTAATCGCCGCAGGGGCATCATCCGAATCGATTCGGCTTCCGGCGGCGCACTCGCCGTTCCTTCATCGCCGCCACATTTACCGAGCAGCACCACCAGCTTCTCCGCCGCGCTCGCGAGCGCTCGTGCGGGATTCACTGCACTGCCCGCTTCTTAATCCGTCACGCCGACCGCAGCCTTCCTTCCCGTTCCATTCTCACCGAAGCTCCGCGACCAAGGACCAACCTTTCTGGGTATCTGCGTTCGCCCGAACCATTCTCCTACTCTCCGAGAGTTTAACTCGTCTCTTCTTCTATTTTCCTGGATTGATTTTGGTGGTTGGAGAGGTGAAGGAGTTCGGGGGCAATGGGACTGGGTCCCGAGGAAGCCCCTTCTTGCTTCGTCAGCTTTTTATCTTGAAGCCGTTATGTCTTTATATTCCTCGCCCTGGCTTAATAATGATGCACCTTCTTTAGGTTCATGTATAGTAGTGATGTTTGTTCCTCTTCTCTAGGTTTATGCTTTGTGTAGATGTTTGCTCATTTGGTTATATTTGAATATTTTTCGCCCCCAGTGCTACTTTTAGTATTTTCAACCAGTGGTTGTGACCAAATCTTTCTTCTAATCTGCAAATGAAGGTGCCCATTCACTTACCTAGATGGAGAAAATCTTCTTTCTGATACGAAAAGTTTACTTGTTTGTAAAAGTTCCGTTATTTATAATTGTTATGAAGATTCATGGACGACTAATTGGAGTGGTTTTGGCCACTTTCTTCTGAAGCGGCGAATTTTTTGTTTGTGCTTTAGTTATGGATTTACTTCAGAAAAAAAAAATGAAGGGAAGTTTGTTGTAATGGTGAACACTGGCTTTTCAGATTTATGCTAAGCTGCTATACATATAGGAATTTAATCATGTGGATGCATCTTCCTCTTCTTTTTTTGATGAAGTTTGACAAGCATTGATGTTCAGTAAATTCACCTTGTTTTTGGTTAATTCATTCTAAATAATCAGGAAGCCTGTCTGTACTGGGACAACGAAGAGTAGCATGGCTTGAAAAGTGTCTTTCTTTCCCCGCTTGCTTCCTTGAGAGAGATTCCACTAAGGAGCGTAACCGTGCTTTATCGAAGAATCCTGCAGTCACTTTCTGCCACTTCGTGTAAGTAAAGCAAATCCGTCTGTACTTTGCTGCAGCACGAGAAGCTTTGGTGAAATGAATCAATCGACTCTCCCTGTATTCGTGGACTCATTGAACAAAAACTTAGCCAGTTCAGTAAACACTTAAGAAATTAGAATAAATTCACCTTGTGGTTGTATACATGGGGCATGGACCAATAGTCCCATGTAGGTTGTGACTTGAGTAAGTTTGTGGCTCCCCTTTTTCTTTGATGTGCCTTTTGCACAGGCAAGGCTATGTAGACCACGAGCCAAAGCTGATATTACCTCCAGGGAAAATAGACCATTGGTACACCCCTAATATAAGATACTTATTATTTAAAGGATGAAATGCATAAACTATAAAATTTTACATAGTCATCTTTGAGTTTGCTCAAATTGTATGATTTTTTTTGTCTTTAGTGAAGATCTTGTGGAATCAGATATTGTTGTCAAGAGATCAACTAATCTATAACTGTTTTTTCTTTCTGAGAGTTAGAAGGGATGAGCAAATAATAGAATAGATGTAACAGTCAAGCTTGGTCATCGTACAAGTGAGCATGGCCATCCTACAAGTACACCAACATTTATGGAAACTACTTTTCAACTAAAAACTAACAAGGAAAGCAACTTCAAGCAAGTTGAAGTATATGACCTTCCGGATCATATGGGAATAATAAGAAGCTTTTGGATCAGATCAAGAACTGCTTATGGGCATAATAAGAAGCTTATGTAAGTATTTGACATTGTTCTACATAGATCCGGGCTAGTCCCATGTGGATCTGGCTTGACTATTTGGATCTGGCTAGATGCATGTGGATATGACCTTCCAGATTTAGGTTAGATCATCCAGCTTACACTTTCATAGATCAAGGTCTGATTTGTGCTAGTCCAGGTTAGATCTACATAGACCTAGATTGAATCTTCATGAAAACAACCTATCTCTGCTTGGTTCTAGGTTGGATGCTCACAAATTTAAGCTAGATCCATGTGGTTCCTATATGCTGTGATCCAGAGAGGTGGCTGACGGAGAGATGAACAACTTTTTTATATATGCCGCCTAGGATGAGGATTATGACTGGAGAAATTAATAAAATTTATGAGGGGAAGATGGAAGGTAGTTGATGATTTTGAGCTTATGAGAGCCTCATAGATTGATTTGGTGGGAGTTTGTCATGGTTACTATCTTCCTATCAACTTGGATTTCATAGATCAGAGTATGAAATTGACCTGTAGTCTCAATTTGTTGAGTCAAAGAAGCCTTAATGTTTGCAAAAGAACAATATTCCTCGATAACCGGTTTTTAAACTCTATCATCAAACCTTTATGGAGTTGTAAATATACAGATCTTGTACTTGATTGATAACTGAACTCCTTTGGTTTTTGCATATCTTATTAGCGTGTACTATGATGTGTACTGGCACTATATGTGCGAGGAGCAATGCCATTCTTATGTTTTAAACACATCATATTGTCCTTCAGCCACAGGCAGATCCTGAGCAAGTATGGTACTCTTTTGGTATTAGGATAATAGGATATTCATGAGGTGGACATCATAGCTGGTATTTGCTTATGTTGATGATTGACTTGGTGTCATGTTTGCATACTTGCTTAATGATTGAAGATATCATCTGGTGATTTGTTTCTTGCTAATCTTTGCCCAATCCACCATTAGCTACTTCATACTTTTTTGCAACTTCACCGTGAGTTCCATCAATCCGGCGAACCTTCGAGTGTCCCTCTACCGTCCACCAGAACAATGTCAACTGCAATGACGATATCTGTTTCATGGTTGCACTTTCCTCTCTTATTGACCACTTAGTTTGTGTGGCCATTGTCATTGGGAAAGTGACTTTTATAAACTTGGTTTTAATTTTTAACTAGATGTAATAAGGCTATGATTGTGATTGTACTTTAGATTGCGTCAACATTCATGTGGAGTATATTTTTATAAATTTGGTTTAGTTTTCCAAACATTATATTATTTGTTATTTTTTCTCTTCTCAGTAAGAGGATGACAACCTTCTTGGAGCCCTCAAGCTTCTTTCAGGTACGACCCTCCTCTGTTCGTGCCTTCTCCATGCCCTTCCGGTCATATGTCGTATGTTGCTCCAATGGCAACCCCTCCACGGTAGTGCTCCTTGGTAGTTCTCGTGATCTAGAATCACGTGAGCGTAAAGTTGTCCGCCTTGGTCTTCCAAGCAAGGGCCGTATGGCTGATGAAACGTTGAGCCTTCTTAAGGTGCCAACCTTCCCTCTTCTTGGATTAACTCCTATTCTATTTGATTCTTCTATTTTCCAATCATGCCTGACAGAGTTTTCTTTGTTGTTCTTAGAATTGCCAGTTGTCTGTAAGGCAACTTAATCCACGACAATATGTAGCTGATATCCCACAGGTGATTTTCTTTCATTGCTGATATCCTTTGTATTGTGACTTTGTTTACTCAATATAAGCATTGTGTTCATGAAGATGTGAAGATGGTAGCAATCTGCAAATGTCCTGGTTGTATTTTGTGTTGGCTTAGTACAATCACTATACTTTGTTTCAACAAGATCAATCCAAGTTTGTTTTGATTTATAAATAACATATATTTTTGTTTATAAATTATACATCATTGTACCGGCATTACTTGTAATGCTACTCTATAATTGGTATAAGTGCAACATATACATGCCTGATTACATTACATGTTACACGACTCTATAATTGATCCACTTGTTTTGTCATTTGATGGTATTCATCTTGTAGCCTTGTCAATCTTGTTCCTGGAGGAGTTGAATTATAGGTTTATCTTTAAGATGCAAAACTTGGAAGTCTGTTATACTTATGAATTGGCTACTCTGTTTCCAATGTTGATTATATTTATGGGCCTGGATTCCAAGTTTAAGTTGGAGATTAATTTAAGTACAGTAGCTAATGAGATACTATGTACTATGCAGGCAATCACCTACGGAAAAACATCTATGTTGCTATTTTCATTTTATCAGTTCTTTGATGTGGCTTTTAGGTTGAGGTATAAATAAAATAGATGAAACCATTTATCTACCACAGTTTTAGAGTTGCTAGTGACACATTATTTTTTTTACCATCTTCGTCAGTTCTCTTTCTTTTTTTAAAAGGAAAATTCTTCAAGCTGACATAAATCTTACCATGCCTAGGTTAGCTTTTGTTACATGGCTTGTGACAACTGTAAATGTTTCTTTTTTCTTTCTAACTTTTTCTTTCACCAGTTGTCACCCGAATTTAGCATCTTTTAAGGTAATGCTCATGTGTTATAGATTGTGACATCCACAAATGTTATTTTCAGCTCTCAAACTTGGAGGTGTGGTTTCAGCGACCCAAAGATATAGTTTGCAAAATACAGTCAGGTGATTTGGACCTTGGTATTGTTGGTTTTGACACAGTTTGTGAGTGTGGACAGGTAATTATGTTGTATCACTAATATCTAGACTATTGCTACTTAAATAATAGTGTATTCTGTAAACGCTAATGCTAGAAAGCCATGTTTATTGTTGATTTTTATCAAACATTGCAAAATGGAGACTGGAAACCAGAGAAATAACATTTAGCTGCAATTTACAAAGCACCTTATTAGGTGTTATTTGTAAGTTAGGCATGCCTTTTGTAATATGTAGCTGTTTTCTAGGCTTGATATATAATGTCTATGGCTTCATAATATATCAGCTGGAATTGGCAAAATATTGTAAGTCAAATTCAAGGGCCTGTTACTGTTCTAGATTTATTATCCTAATCTCTATGTGATGCTGTGTGGTTAAAGAAAACAATACAAGTGCTTCAGTTTCCTTAGAGTCTGTCACAACTAACATGACCATTCTTAACCCTAGTTAGCCTATTTTGAAGCTAATTTCAAGCACATGACATACATAGACAGAGCAAATCTTCCATTTCTTTGAGTTTCTTTGCTTGGGCAAGAATGTATATTGACCATTTGGCCAGAGCCTCATGCAACCTGCTGCCTATTTTTTAAGTTATTTGCACACAACTTTTAGTAATTATTTGTCTAGTTGTTGGTGATTAGTCTTTACTAGATTGTATAACTTTCCATAACAATGAAAGGATTACTTGAGATTGGATATCTGGTCAACTAATGCACTTTGCCAATACTTATTGAGAGTTTGAGATTTGTCTAAATCATACCTTTTTGACACATTCTTGCTGTTTGATCTGTAATTATTTCTGCTTCTACTCCTCTAGGGTTAGAGTTCTCCTCAGAAGTTATCTTTCATTTTTTCTTCTTTTAGTCTGATATTGAGGTCAAGAAGGGCTCTGAGATGGAAACTGTCAACTTCTGGAATAATCTGCTGTTGACAATCTGAAATTAGTCTAGGTCCACTAAGGTTGTTGCGACATTTTAAAAAAAAGCAGAGAGGTTCTAGTAATGACATCCAAAGGGAGTTATATTAGAACTTATTCAATATTCATCAGTTGATGTACTAATGACCTAGAGTATCTTTTCCTTTTTTGTTAGTTCCTCGTAATTGGATAAAGTTTGCACCCAAATTATGTGTTTGATTCTTGTTATAGATCTTCTCCGTTTCTTATCACAAGTTTGGGATTTGCACACTTGATACATTTTTCATGTATAATGATACAACAATTGTGAACACATAGGGTTAGGTTGATGTAACACTTCCCAGACCCCACATTGACAATAGCCTTGTGAATTAAGTTCACACTTTTTCTTTAGACATGTAATCTAGGGTTTTCAAGATAGATGGCATACTAGTGAGCATCATGGCAAGGGACATGAACCCAAACTGGTACATACATGAATAAAATATTTATATGATTATCAAATAAGCTATTTAATCAATTCTAGCAGATATATGCAACAATGAATGTCAATGGACAGCGAAATAGAACAGTGAAATATTATTAGGAGTTTAGGACCAACCCTCTTAACATCTGAGTCCTCCAACTTGAGGAGAAAAGACAACCCAAGGATCTAAACTAAGAAAAAGTGGTCACTTTATTGCTAAAAAATTAGTAAAACAAGAAGGATATATGTAGAACACTTACAATCCTATATAGACTAATGCCAATTTGTACCTATATATTGAAGTCAGTCATTTGGAGTGATAAGGTAGTGAAGCTGGATTCACATCCAGAAAATGTTGCAACTTTGTAATCTTATGTTAGAGTTGTAGGATCTCATAAGTCATCTAGAAAATCCAAAGATTGTTAGGAATAAGTCTAACTTCACCTTTCCTAGGAACACTAGAGAGCACACTGGCAAGAGTCTCATGCACTGTGTCATCTCTTTTTTTCTTTTTCGGGGGTAACAGTTTAGCTGTGTAGATGGCTTGGAACAGGGGTTGGTATCAATCTTGGCTACATGCTGATATAATATTTTGCTAGTGAGGATGGCTCCTTGCTGAACCATGGACAGAAGACATCAAATAAGTGTAAAAGGTAGTGTCACAAATGATTGTGCTTTTTTTTCTTTTGCCTTATATATAGCTCAAATAAATCATAAACAAATTGAAGTTAGGGAAAAGTGAATTAGTTCAGGAGATTGATCTGCTGTGGTTTTGTAATGGAACATATTGTGACAGATGATTTTGATCATCTCATTGATAAAGGTTCTAACAAAGCTTGTTTGTTTCTTGATTGAAAACCTACTTATCAATTTCTATTTGAATCTAAAATTGCTGATTTAGAAATTCATCTGACACTATCATTGTTCAGGATGCTCTATGTTGAATAGGTTTTCTGGTTATCACTTTTATCAAGACTTGTATACATGGGTATTTTTCTAAAAAGATTTGGAATGTTTATATTGTAATTTTACAGGGAAATGATGATTTAATTGTAGTTCACGAGGCACTTGGTTTTGGAGCCTGTTGTTTATCAATTGCGGTTTGTATGCACTGGTTTGGTTGTTATTATTCAAAGGAAGATCTTTTGGTTTCTAATCTGGATTTAAATTGAAAAAAGAATTGTAACTTCTACTCAGATTCCCAAGTATGGAATATTTGAAAATGTAAATTCCCTGGGTGAGTTAGCAAAAATGCCTCAATGGACAAAGGACCGACCTCTGCGGATAGAAACTGGATTCTCATACGTATGCTGTCTTCCAAGGTTTTTCTCGTTTGCTTCATTGGTATCCAGTGCTTAATTGTTGAGCTGTTAAACTCTCTCTGCACAGCTGGGGAACAAATTCTTTCAGGAGAAGGGTTTTGAGCATGTCAGATTTCAACGCTCCGAGGGGGCACTTGAGGCTTACCCTGCTGTAAGAATCCTTTTCAAACCTGTTTTCCCAGTGTGAACGAATTTTTATCTTTTTGTTGATAGGTAATATTGGCTCACAAAATATATATATATTCAAATATGTAATTGTGCTCACACATTTGAAACAATATATGTATATGTTCAGACAAGTGTGTTGTCGGGTTCTATGGAAGTTAGCCTTGCCTGCGATGGTAAGGTTGCTTGTTTGCATCCTGAGTAGGTTGCATGCATTTATCCTAATTCAATCCTGCAATAGGAGGAGCCTTGTGCACTAGGCTGTCCTTTATGTACTGTAGGTTATTATTATAACTTTTTTTTTAAAAAAAATTGGTTTGGTCCTGGCCTCTTCTTTTTTAAATGTAATTTGTACATTTTAGCTTGAGACAAATTTGGGGCTGACATTAGGGTCTCATGCCTCGTGTAACATTTGTCTAATTTTTAGTCCCCGAACTTTTAACACTCTGTCACGGACTTAGCTGGAATTGCCTAAGTCGTGAGGCACCCTTGAGGCTAAGACGCGAACTTAGCTTGAGTTGCCTAAGTCGCGAAGAGCCCTTTCGCCAACTTCTCGGATTTAGTTAGGATTGCTTAAGTCATGATGTGTCCTTGCGATATGCTTCCGCAAAGGTTAGCCAATTTGCAACCTCACTCAGGTCCAGAAGGACATGTAAAAGAGAAAGTTGATTAGTTCGAAAACGAGCAACAGACAAGTCCCAATGTTTCGTGGAAATGGAAGCTTTACAAGCAATTCAGCGAGCACCTTGCGTGCATAAGAGAAAAGAGGGGAAGGAGGAAAACAAGGACTTTAGATGGTAGAACGAACAGTTGCAAGTCCACAAACAACTGCTCACTGGGTGCCGAGCGCGAAGGCAAGTTCTCGTCAAGAAATCGTTGTGAAGATTTTTCAACGCCCGACAATATACCGAAGCCCCATCCATCCCTGTGCCACCCGGGGGGTTCCAGGGTGTTGAGATGGCTGACGTTTCGTGTGCAGTTGCAACTTGCAGAAAACAAGATGTGGCATGCGAAAACGGAGTTGTTTTGGGCAGTTCGGCCCGACGAGGTGAGCGGTCGCACTGCAGTGCTGCAACCTATTCGAACATGCATTTTTACAAGCAAAAACATATAAAACTAAGGCAAAACATGCTATCATGTCTTGGTACAAGTATGCAAAAGCGACGAAC